TTTTAGAGACCCACCACCAGCACAAGCGACGTCATCTTCAAATCTTCCAGCTTCAACAACATCAACATCTTTTCCGCCCTTATTTTCCTCACTTAATCTTGACGATGTACTTCGTCCTACTGTACTACATTCTGATCCATTATTTCCCTCCTCTACTTTATCACAATTACAGTCATCGTCATCGCCACAACAGCAGTCTACCAGGACCATAATGTTTCCATACATTTTTAACGACTACATTTCAAATCTTTACAATTTCACCACAAATGTCCCTAATAGTTTTCTCACATTTATCCACAGCCTATTACACTATTCGAGTACCGAGATGCTCGAGCTCCTGTTGTCGAATTTGATGTTGAGCCCGGAAGAATGGATACGGTCTGATACCCAAATCTTGTACTTGTGTGCTTTGTTGGGGCCGGTGTTTTATCGAATGGATAAAGCTCCGTATATAAAAGAGGTGGATACACAACGTGTTATTTTATTACCGGTTCTCTTTGCTAAATATCTTTATTTTATATATGTATAGTTCCTGTTAAATATATTGCACCTGCTTCATCATGTCACCTCATCGAATATGCGTACTGAAGATATCACTACTGGACAGAGTACTCTGGCACTTGAGCAAATCTATGATTTTTTGTATCCTTTTTTTCTTTACTTAATTTGATTTAGATGCTTCATCCGCTTTATACATTTCTAGATAGATACTTATCTTTAATGATATATAGACATCATGTGAAACCACTGATTGCTTCAGATCATCATGTCATTTTACGTATCCAGAATATTGTGCGGCTTATGAAACCGTCCATTCAAAATCGGTTATGTGGGTTCATGTTGATTTCGGATAACCGACGATGAGACAAACTTTCATAAAGATCTTTGTGTTTATACACATCAAATAAAATTACTGCATGAATTTTTGAGAGAGACGTCCTACCTTCGAAGCTAGTAACATATAACGCTGCTTAAAATAATCTCAGTTTATACATTAACTAAATATATTATCAATGTATGTTTTATTTATCATTTGTTAGACTCATTTTTTTCTTGCAAAATTATACTTCTTTATTATTTATTCTTATCGTATTTTATCTAATTTTAGAATGAAATTCAATTATTGAATTATTGAATAAAATGATAATTTTATTCTAAATTCACAATTTATAATACGTGTACTTAACAATTTTATATTAACTACATGTATTATACAATGCTTTTACTTTGCTATATCATAAGAAAACTATACAATCACAACTTCAAAACCTCTATATAATCACTATCACACTATTTTGTAAATCCGAATATAAATTATAAAGTTACCCCACAATACGTGTAAATGATATAAACACGCAAATAAAAGTTTTTTGTACGCAGAGAATTTGAATCACTACCGGCTACATCGATTATCTCTTCGTTTCATGTTCATATAACGGATGGAATGATTATGGTAGATGTTTAGCAATACAATTGTCTAGCGGCTGAGATAAAGGTATCAAAATTGGTACTTGAGTTGATGAGATTACAGTGTTGAAACCATTACACAATTCAAAGCAAATTACTCGGGAATTATGAACGAGGTAAATGAACATTCTCCAAAGTGAATATAATCAAGTTTTTCAAAAATAGATCCAGGTTGCTCTTAAATGCGATAGTGTTTATTTTTATCTTGTGGAATAACTATAAACTCAACTACGAATGACTGATTACTTATGCAAGAGATGGTGACTTTCACAAACATAATAATTCCATCTAAATTGGGAATAAAAAAATCAATGATCTCAGAAATATTTACAAGCTTGTTACATGTACTTCGTAATTTTCATCCTGGAAATATATTAATAATTTCTAGAATTGCTGATTTTGGACTTGGCATTTTAACAAGTATAGAAAAATCTAGCTAAATGGAAAACCATACACTAGTCATGATATATCTTGCATAAAATAATATTCCAGAAAACGGGACCAACTGCTGATGATCTTGACTTTGTCACATATATCCTCGCTAACAATGAAGATTATTGGGAAACTTGCATTTTTAGTATTAGAAGCTCCTTAAATTTAAGAGAGCCTTGGATTAGAATGACGGAAATGGAAGAGATGAAATTGCAAAAAAAATTCCTATAAACAAAAAACTAAAATGCAATTTACAACTCGAATCTTTAAAATTAATATCAACTGATACAGTTATTTTTATTCATCATCTTTGGTTCTACAAGTGTGACTTATATATTAAAAAATACATATTCTCAAAAAAAAACTAAATTTCAAAGATCAGAAAAACGAATACATGTATTTAACATCCTTTTGAAAGCTTTCGGAAAAATACCTCTATAAAAGCACATTCATGACAATTCTATTATAATGTGACTACATAGAGGCACACTCTATACAGTCACATCTCTATAATCACAGGTTTTGAGTGTGACTGTATAATTAATTATTTTTTATACAAGTGGCAATATTTTTCCGTTACAAATTGATCTTGTTCATGAAAGTCCATGCTTTCAAAGTTTTCTCGGAATTTATATACTTTTCGACCAGCTAATTTTTTTCTCACTGCTTACATACTTTCTCCCATTAAGATGTTTCAAAAAAGGGTCTTGATGGTTAAACCCAAAATTAAGATCTCTTCCCAATGACGGATCAGACTTGATCTACCTTAATTCCTCGACGTCTTAGTTTAAAAAAACAAGATCTTGAGGCATTGAGAGTAAGTTTTCACCCAGCACCATTTGAGAATCTTGTCCCTCCTGCCGCTCAAGATACGATTACTTTCCCGGAGAAATATGTCCTCCCTCAAATCGACCGTAACATACTTGCCTCGCTGAATATTGATAACCTCGATAATACAAACAAAATTATGGATGCTTCTGTCAAGACATTCATCGCAAAAATGAAACGTGTCTAGAAGTGGAGATAGGCACAAGAGAATCCAAGACTGATGCTTTAATTAGATGATTTACTTCGCATTGTTGGCCTAAATGGCTGGCCCTTCATGATTGAATGAATAATTATGAAAATATGAATAAAGATGTGATTTTGCTGGTTGTAGAAGTTTGTATGTTTTTGATCGTTTGGTAAACCATATTTTATTGTCCTATACAACATACCCTAGTGGGACAAGTACCTCAGAAATGTTAATGATTTTGGAGAGACACAACTTGCTGCAGAAACTCTTGCATGCGGAAGCGAGAACAAATCATCTTTGCTATTCGCGTCATCTCTCTTAATGTTTACATTTTACAAAGCAATCATTTCAGCATCATATTGGCTTGAGCTTGACAGAGGCTTACCACAAGAGTCAGTGAAAATTGAAAGGTGGCCAGGAGAAGACTGGTTTAGATTTAGCTTGACCAGAAGAGAGACGAAAAATATTGGAGACGTTAGTGAAAATTCGTAAATTTCTTTCAAATAGATGAAGCTATGCTTAAATGCACTTCTTTAAGTGCAAACCTTTTGTTGGCATTTTGTAAATGGATATTATAATATTATGATTATTACTTCATAAAAATTTTATCTTAAACGAAAAAATTTTATTACTATGATATTTTAGCTAATTTCAAAACATTCTCGGATATGTAAAAGTTATCAATCGAATATGCAACTTGAGATTTATTCATCAAAGCAAGAAAAAGTAAAGCTTCTGATTAAGCTAGGAATGCAAAAATATTAGGAATATCAGAATTTAAGAAAAATCGCAAATTGCAGACTAAATGCATTCAGCTAGTTAAAGAAATTCTTAATTATAGCACTGGTTTGTAAAAAAAAAAAAAAACTCGTAACAGTGATTGGCAAAAAAGATGCATATGTCAGGATGATGGAATCGTTATCCCAAAGGATTTAAAAAATCAAGCGATCCGAAAGGATGTACAACTTCGTCAGCGAGAAAAAAAATATTTAATCGATGACTATTTTGAATGCATCTAAAGTTAACGATAAGATTCATATGTGTGGCTTCTGATTTTTTTAGAAATTAAAATTCGTGTAATGATATTTTTATTTACGTCCAATTATATTTTAAAC